TCCCTTCTCACATTTTCTCTCATCAATGAGTCTATTAGAAGTTGGTTTATTTCCATCTTCTTCTAAAACTCCTTGTTCCTCTCCTCCATCAACCTCTTGACCATTTCCTCAACTTCATCAACGAAGACAATACTTTGTTTTTCTACTCTTGATTCTTCTATTGAGTCTTTAGAGGTCTTGGAAGAAATAAGTCTTTGTGATCTAGAATTCCTTCTTTTTTTATCAGTTTCTTCCTCATCACTATGAGGTTCTTGAATTTCTTGTAAGCTTTCTTGAAACTTCTCTTGCTCTCCTTCAACTTCTTCTTTACTTTCCATCACTTGGATAAGAGAAAGGTCCTCCTCTAGCAAGGGTTTCTTTTTCACCAACCTCATCTTGGATTTGACTACTTCTTAATCAGCTTGCACTTTGGTTTCAAGGATCTCATCCTTGTCCAATTGTTGAAAGGCAGTTTTGGTAGTTTTCTTCCCCATCTTGTGTTAATGCTTCTCTTACCTCAACTCAAAGATTAGTTCCAGAAATTTCTTTCCAATCTACTTTTCAATATTGATCTAAAACTGGCTTTGATACCACATGTAACTGTCCTCCTCTTGCTGGTCACTCGATTTCACCCTGAAACACTACCAACAAGAAACTCCGTTAATACTAGCCTTGTGAACTGGACCCTACTCCCAGATACTGTCACCACAGCCTGGTCTTTGTAACTTCAGACTCAAGCCACTAGTAAGCTAAATCCTGATGGTCCATTGAAGTCCTCCTGACTCCTCTGGATCACCCAGGATTCCACACGAACTCCAAAACACTTCCCCTCACACCGCACACTGTCCCCGCATCATGTGGTCCCTCGGTGTGAGATAGGTGGCCCGCCCATCCACTCCATCGCCACCTCGCCGCGGCTTTTCGATGGGCTTAGGGATCGTCGAGGCTCCTAATACCTTTTGACTTAACAAGTGTAAGAGTCACATCTTTTAGACCCTTACAGTTGGTTTCATTAAAGGTGATAGACAAAGCATATTGATCCAAAGTATTTTAGTTATATTTGTAACTTAGTTACTTATTAAGCACTTAAGATCAAAAAAATTGAATTTGCAAATAACCTTGATGATCTCTTTATCAAAGCTCTTCTTTTGTGCAACCATCACTAACTTACTAATAGCATGGGCATGTGGTGACTTACTTTTTTTGAGCAAAAAAGTTAATGAAATTTTTAAATAATTAAGAAAAATGATATTGTATTCTTTTTTCTTCATGTATGGTTTTGTCCTTGAATACAATAAGGTTTTTTCAAATAAGATTTTAATGAGGCAACAATTGTTGATCTTACAAGATTACAAAAAAGTATAGATCATAATTCTATGCAAATTTTAAGTCATATAAATATTATAATGTACAAGGAGAAGTGTTTAGAGCATTAAATGTAATTGGTACTTTCCATAATATTTACTATAGTTTATAATAAATACTAAAGTTAGAGTGTTTGGAATGTAATAGGGAGAAATTGTTAATTTTCTGCTTTTCTCTTTGTATATAAGAGACAAATCATATCAATACATTGATAAGAAGCTCTCTCTCCTTCTATACACTCTCTTGTATGTGTGTATTACTTCTAGCTACTCTTGTGTCTCTCCAAACATTGTAAACAAATGCCAAGCATGGATTTCATGAAAGATATCTCATCATATTTTTTAAATGGTTTCTCATGCCACTCAGCATCACCTACATAGCAGCATCACAAACTTTTTGCAGGAACAATAATAGTAAGTTACATTCCTCAAAGCATTGGTTCTCATCTTTGGTTGAAAGATTTTGTCCTTTTCCCATTTCTATTGAGATTCCTTCCAACGTTGTTTTTTATATATTTGGAAAGTCAGTACTCTACAAAATTCAGCATACATTCTGAAAAGCCTGACACTTCCAATTTCAACAACAGAACAATTCGCACTCTTACCTGTTGCTATTGTGCCCTACCTTATGGCCAGAGATGCTTCAGGGTACGCAATTCGTCACTGAGTCATCCAAGAATTCTGCCATCATCCGTTCCAAACTCCCAATTCATCAGCAATTTCAAATTGTGACTCTACTGTGCGCGCAGATCGGTTGCTCAGGTGAATGAATCCGTAGGTTTCCAATTAAGGTTTGCGGTTTCTCAGCACTGCTCACACTTTCAAAATGTTGATACCTTTTTGTGAAGATCGGACGTTCTAGACTGCGCAAACCAAGACTAACAAAGCGTGACGAGGTCATTAACATCTAATTTCCTGAATAAATTACGACAAAATTAAATCACAGGCATGTAGTAAATGCTGTGGGAAACCACTGGACACGGACTCAGAGACCAAAGTCACCATTTGACTTAATCTGCAAAACTTTTTCAAAGCTGAGTAGCCGTTCGTCTCTGACACCAGAACTTGCACTTCTTTCTCTCGTTCTCCGTGAATGAGTAGCAGCGCATTCTGTTGCATACTGGGCCCGATGAAACTTCCTTCTGATTTCTCCGCCTCCTTGCCTTGGCCCTTGAACCCACATGGCAACATTCCTCCTACGTAGCCCCATGGATCGCTAACCTTACTTCCAACCCCTCTCATCTGCTTTGACAACCACGTACCTCCACACGAATGACAGCACAATCATTATGCTTAAGCCCACATGAGTATACCGGTTTTGTGAAACGATGTGCTTAGCAATATCATTCATATTTTGTGCCTCGCTTGACTCCTCACTGTTCGCTATTCTGGAATCCATCTGTCCATCTTCCTCTTCCTGTCTTGGATCCAATTCCTCAGCAGAAGGATGCAAGGTTTAGAATAGTTTGTTCACCGTGTCTGATTTCTTAGTGACCAACACAGCAGCGGATTTAGCAGCCTTGGCTGATACATTTGCGGCGTGTTCTGCAGCTTTCACTGCCTTCTTCTTGTCGCCGTTCTTTAGTCTCTTCTCTTTGTCACCCCTATTGATAGCCCAAACGCTACTAGCACTCCGTTTTACCAACCTGCTTGCAATTGTGCTTCTGTTCTCTTAATGTTTCGACCTGCAACAAAATTAATGTCCGTAAGTTGGCCTTGTGAGTGTGCAAAAGCTTCATGCCTCTTCTTGACTGAAATGTGTTGCATGGAGTTAGTAATTTATAGGAAATCTTGTAATTTAAATAAATTGATTTATAAATTTTGAATAAAAAAAACATGTAATAAATTGATTTTTGGTAGATTTGTAATGTTTATATCATGTAAATGAAGACACATACAATGATATCAATCTTCTTATGGAGCACTAGAAAAATAATTTATCAAATTTATCAAATATGCAATGGACTATTATCTTAAAATATTTTTTTTAATCTTTATACACACAATATTTTAAAAACAAGTTTTTAAGAATGATTTTAAAAAGACTAAATTTCAAACTTTTGCACATTCTAAAGTTTTTACACAAACTCCAATATTTTTATAAACTATGCACAATTTTCTTGTAAATATGAAATATAAGTCAATTTTTGAAAGCACTAAACATGTGCATATTTATATATATATATATATATATATATATATAATCTAAATATTATAAAACATACTAAAATAATATTATATCAATGTTGTAGAACATATTATACATAAAAACCAAAATAACATTCTAAAACTTATAAATAATAATAATAATAATATATATATATATATATATATATATATATGCACTTATAAATGTATAATATTTTTAAGATTTTGAAAGTACATTAATATGTTGATTATATACTATAATTTGATATCCTTTGATGAATAATTTGCAACTTTACTTTATTTTGATGTTTTTAAACATTATTTAAGAGAGCAACAACCGCAGATACATTAAATGGTTATATTGTTGAAATTTTTAAAGTTTAAATAGACTTTGCAAAAATGCACGTAGTGATTTGCTATGTATGTAAAGGATTGTGAAAAAAAAAAAAAAAAAAATGTAATAAAAAAATGTACAAAATAATTCGTAAAAATAATATTAAAAAATAACCATGAAATATGTTTTGAATATAGAATTTTAATCAACATGACTTAAATTACTTGAGTTTGAAGCTGTTTTTGTTGAAATTCAATGATAATCCACAATGATTTTTATTTTATTTGAAAACATACATATACATATGTGACCACATGCATGTGTGCATGTCATACACACACATACACATATCAACTTGTACTAATTTTGGAATTTTAATTTTAAACACAAATATTTTTATTGTTTTAAAATAAATTATAATTTTTTAAAGCATAAAAAATGTAGTTTAATATATTAAAATTGAAAATTTTCCAGAATATTATTTAGAATTTAAATCATTATTATTATTATTATTATTATTACTATTATGACTTTAAAATAATCTTTCAAGATACTAAAAATTTCATGTTATAGTCATATGTAATAATGACTACAGATATTTAAATTATATATGTAAGTAATGTGTGTCATTGAAAATAATTTCAAACAAATAATACCGTTTACCTTTACTTTTATTTTGAGTTATCAAATTCCATATAAGTGTTGACAGAATTCTGTCATTTTATTTGGGAACAAGCATCATTACAAAGATTAAATACACAGAAAATTAATAGGTAATTCACAATTTTAATAAATTCAAATTTTGCAATACTTATAAATCTAACCAAAACCCCCAGTATTGATAAATAAATCATAAACCGTATTTTTAACTACAAATCTTAGAAAATGAGGAAGAGAAATCTTACATCAATGTGAAAAGAAATTGTAGACCTATTAATTTCATTAAGATACTGAAACTTTTGTAACTACTTAAAGTAAGCACATGAAATGGAAATGGAATAGATCACAAGAGAAATTATATATATATATATATATACACACATATCTATATCTATGGAATAATACAAGTGATTGTCCAAGGTTGGAAGTAGGGGGGGCTATTTTGAGGAGGACCACGTAGGCTTAGGGTTTGCGCGGGGTTGAGGCGGGTATCATTCCCGCGCAAGCCATCCATGTCAGCGTAACCACGCGCATTCGGGGGGAGAGGGGGTTTGCTTCGGATGACGAGAGCAAGGGTTTGCTACTGGTTTCAAGCACCGCTGCATCCCTGTCGATGCATGTTTCGTCATGGGCCGATCACGAGGAGTGCACGGCACGCACGACGATGATACGGCATGGTTCGGCCACAGGTATGCCCCGCTCGCCGTGCTTTTTTTCTCGCCGGATCTCGTCTGATTTCGCCATGAACGTGACCTCGTTGGGGTTTGTGTCGGTGTGGTTAAATAACGTTGAGCTGGTTTGGTTATGTATGTTTTTTTTTTCTTCTCAGGTCGAAGAGGAGGCGTGTGGCCGTCGGAGGAGATGTCCCCGAGCCTACAGCAACAGGTGAGAGAATGTGTCACTTGTCGACTTTTTTTTCTTTTTTTTTGGATTTTTTTGGATTTTTTTGGATTTTTGGATGGGGGTTAATGATTCTTTTATGCTGGCATTACTGTCGATTTATGTTGGAAATGGCTCTGACAATATGAGTGCGTTGAATTGCACTTTGGTGTATGTGTTGAGATGTTGGTTATGGAGTCTATAAATCCATGATGAAACATGGGTTTGATGGATAATGAGCAGATTAGCAATGAATATAGGCTTAGAACTGGAGAAGTCTGCTGGATAGTTTTAAGCTGGTTTTGAAGTGGAATGGGCATTTAAATCGAATTCGTCAGTTGTGACTGAGGTTCAGTACTTGAAATTATAATTGAGTTTTAAGATGAGTGGTGGAATTGTGTTTGGTTGAACAATCATGTAATGTGTTGTGTAATCAAGGAATTCCTTGTTTTTTTTACTAACAATTGGTTTGCTATTTTTATGTAGGAATACTGAGTTTGACTACATAATGACTGAAGTTCTATATGTCATTTTATGTTGTGGTTTTCATCATCTTATCTTGCATGGGGCTGTGTTCGGTACGCAGGCCCGGGAGAAGCAAAGAAAGCTCTCTACCACTGCAACTACTGCAAGAAAGACATCTCAGGAACTATTCGAATCAAGTGCAATAAATGCCCTGATTTTGATCTTTGCGTCGAGTGCTTCTCTGTTGGTGTGGAGATTACCCCTCACAAGTCCAATCATTCCTATCGTGTTATTGTAAGTAGATAACTTATTAATATTTCGGAGTTAATCATCGTGGCCATTTTCTGCAAGTTTGCCATTGATATCTTTCTAATATAACTTATTAGTGAGAATTCTCCATCGACGAAGTGGTAAGGAAGGCCTAGAAGGTTCTCATTTACCATTGCTTTTGAAGCCTGGCTGTTACGTTTTATCTTTCGGTGGTGTATTCAGGACAATTTATCATTTCCCCTCATTCATCCAGAATGGAATGCTGATGAAGAGATTTTGCTTCTGGAGGTACGAGCTATTCTAACTATGCGTTTTCTTGCTCGGTATGGGTCGAGCTGTCTGCGCTCTGATAAATACATCTAATTGCCTTCATCCTCTGCGTGACTTAGTGCAAACTTTGATATGTTCATGTGTGCAGGGAGTTGAGATGTATGGGCTTGGAAACTGGGGGGAGGTTTCGGAGCACGTGGGAACAAAGACTAAGACCCAGTGCTACGATCATTATATGGCAACCTACATGAATTCTATTTGTTCTCCGTTGCCCGTAAGTGCAACTTAAGCTTTATCCTCAATTTCAACAAGGTTTTCCTTCGGAAGTATTCTGCAATGATCAATATGATTGAATATGTGGAGTTTGAGGGTATCTCTTGTTGCTGGCTGAATGTTTTTAATGGAACGGTGACTGCAGGATATGTCCCATGTTATAGGGAAATCTAAAGCCGAACTCTTAGCTATGGCTCGCTCACATCAAGAAGGCAAGAAAGGTATTTCAGCACATAAAACATCAAAAGTTTATGCTGCTGTTCTAAACTTGCTTTTCATCTTGGAATCAATTTTGTGTATCATAGTGTTTCTTGCAATTGAAGGAACTGCCCATATTTGATTGAGTTTAAAACGCTTAAATCTCATGTTTTTGAAACCAGTCTATTTTGGACTTGATTCTACATGCTTACGTATACATTAGTATATTTTAATCCGTCATTGCTTCGAAGTGTGCCACGACTCGATGATGCAACTGTGTTTTGGCTAGTTTGAGTCTCGGACTGATGGCATGATGTCTGTGTTGAACAGATAGTGGAGTGTTACGATTGGTGAAACAGGAGCCTTCTAATTCTCCGTCAAGAATCAAGTAAAGCCCTTTCCTATTGTCTTCGGATGAATTAGGATGTTCTTCTTCATGCAATTCTGGTCGAATAGGCAACTTGAATGTGTAGATGTTAATGTTTAGGTGTGAATACATGTTCTGGGATAGAATATCCGCTGACTTGGACTTGACTGGATGGTTTGAAGGTTGGAGGAAGGTTTTGAAGGCAGATCCCCGTCCAGTATGTCAACAGGTAGAACCCTGTCTTTGAAGAGATTCGAATAGTATTTTGATGAGTGTGCTTCTATATTCAGTCGGTTAAGCTTTTCGTCTGTGCTCCCAGCTAAAACATTTCAAAGTTAATTTGAATATTTTATTTGAAATTTTTGTATTGCTGTTCTCACTCTCTGTATGAGTATTTGATTTGCATGCGTCTCTATTTGCCGTGAAGAAACTTGATTATCCTTTGCAGGGACTGTAGATATCAAGCCACTGCTTTCAACTCCTGGCAGCGAGGGAGATGATGGGGATGTTAGAGCTGGTGGAAGCCAAGCTATTGATTCAGGTGGTCCTACAGTTGGACTAGGTTCGAAGTGTCAAAAGACAGCAGGAGGTGCACAAGGAGTGGTTCATGCCAAGGAAACACCAGATAGTGTTGCAGCTAGTTCTGCAGTGGAAGGTGTTATTTTCTTTAATGCTGTGAATTTTACTTAGCATGCTAATAATGTATAACGTACATGCCAAGATACCATCCTTATTTTGAATTGTAGACACTGTAGGACGCACTGTATTGATGTAAGGGCTTCATTATTGAGGCCACAGCTCCCAAGTCTGACCTACTGAGTTTGACATTGACAGATGGAGCCCAAAGTAATCGTACTCTTGGTGGCAAAAAGCCAAAACCTCTAGTTGAGGATAATAAGGGAGGCACAAATGGTACAGATCAGACAGGGTACCATGCTAAACGGCAAGAGTTTGAGCCGGAGTATGACAATGAAGCCGAACATCCACTGGCTGATATGGAGTTTAAGGATAATGACCATGAAACTGATCGGGAGTTGAAACTTCGGATGTTACATATTTATATTTCAAGGTGAGGAATCACACGATGTGCCGTAGTTTATTAAAACGAATACGGTTTCTCAATAAAATCATGTGACATGATTGTTTGGAGATGTAAGATATGCATTAGTTTAGCTTGCTTCTGGTTCCCTGGTAGGATGTTTCATCTTATGTTGTTTTACAAAGATTTTTACTAGGGCTCGAGCGTACGCCTCTTGAGGCGGCACTAAAATCAAGCCTGAAGGATATTCTTGTCAACATGGTGGTTGTATTAGTTGGTTTAAGTTTACATACACGTGACATTGCTTCAGTGTCTTTTTTGACATAGTCCGTCTGATTATCTATGCGAATCCCTTTATTTCTCAGGCTTGATGAACGAAAACGTAGAAAAGACTTCATTCTAGAAAGAGGTTTGTTGAACATCAAGCGACAGCAGGCCCTAGACAGGAAGCGAACCAAAGAAGAAAGAGAATTATATAATCGAAGTCGTGTCTTCATGCGCTACCATTCAGCAGAAGAGCATGAGGCTTTGCTGAACGGTCTGATTGCGGAGCGCAAACTTCGCCAACGCATTGAAGAACTTCAGGTGCTGTTTCAGGCAGATACTTGCATTTTGTGAAGTGAAGTGAAATGCATCATGCTGCAGTTTGCTTTATTTATATTTGGTTTTAGAAATAATTTTTATCATTCGTGGTTCGATAATACTTGTCTTATTATTGCTTTTCCTCGTCAGATTTGTAGTTGATCGGAATAATTGTTTGCTAGAATAGATACATTGCATTTGGATAAAGCCTCAGCTAAGTAGTTTGTGCTGATCATCACTGCTATTGCTTTTTGTCGTTTCTTGGTGATGATTGATTTTCTTACGGTTCTTTTTTCATCAAATGCAGGAATATAGAATGAATGGCTGCCACATCATGGCAGACGCAGAGGTTTATTGCTCTGAAAAGAAGAAGAGAGAAACGGAGGCGAATCTCAGGAAGGGCAGGGAAAGTACATCTTACTTGTATAGTGGAAAATCTTCTACTCATAGAGCCAATCGGTACCTAAATAGAGAGAAGGAAGGGGAGGCTGCGTCTTCTGGCGGCGTGCGCGAGGTCACGAAAGGACGAGTAGGTCCTCACCTTCTGCCGAGTGGGAGCAGTCTCTTAGCAGGTGGTGGTGGGAAGGGGTCGAAAAGATCTTTAGCGCCGCTTGATCTTGCAGGGTTTCCCGGTGTATACCTGCTGTCCCACACTGTAAGTCTAACTTCTAAATGCTCGCGTTCTAAGTTCTTATTGCACCTTCACACTTACCGATTATTTCTATGATATTTGTTCCAAGATTAGTGTTAAGTTGTTTCTGAATTGAATTGAATTTTATTTTTATTTTTTATTCTTCTCAATATTGCAGGAGCAAGAACTTTGCGCACAATACAGGCTCTTACCTGCTCATTACCTAAAGATGAAGGAACATCTCATGCTGGAGAGCATGAAGGCGGGGCAAGTTCGGAGGTCCGATGCATATCAAATGTTTAAAGTGGACCCCACGAAGACAGATCGTGTTTATGAACTCCTATTGTCAAAAGGTTGGATTCAAGGGGATGGACCAACTGTGCCAGCTTCGGATAGATGAAACGAGATGTAAGTCTGGCCACCTTACGCGCGAAGCTAATTGTTTGGGAGCACTTGCGCTTGGGAGATAGGGAGTTTTTGATCCTTCTCTGTTGATTGCACAGTGTCAAGGTCAGAAATACAGATAATAGTCATTATAGAAAGGTAAATTGGGAGGTCTCAGGTGGCCCCTCGTTTTCCGCTGTAATTTTGTCCACAATCTCTAGGCGTGCTACCCAGAGTGAAGTCTAGGGGCTTTTCATGTCAGTAGAACTTAATCTGTTGACATGAAGGGACTCTGAGATCAGAGGTTGTTTCTTGTTCGAGCAGTCTTGCTTATATTCATGGCACACTCGATGATCTTGTACCATATGAGCTCTTTAAAAGTTGTTACACTTTGAAGTTGATGTTTTCGTGCATCTAGACACAGTGTGTTGGATTAGTCCAAGGTGCTACTGTAGTGGTCCGCTCTGGAACTTAATATCATGCATCGATGTCGCATGAATTGAGCCACTTCACGAATTGGTATGTCGCCTAAATGTCTTTCAATCTGGGGTGTTTCTCTATGGCAAGATACTTTGTATGGCAATTGACAACATCAACGTCGTGCTTGACTACACTGAAAGAAAGTCATGTGGCTCAGTTCATGGAGGTTCCCATTACCAGTGGAGACATGACCATGTATCCTAGACTGGAGAGATATTACTTAACATCAGAATGTAACTGCTATCTGGATTTTTTATCTCCATCGTACTTTCGCATATCAAAGTAATCGTTTATCTTTATTAGCTTTCTCAAGACTAGTGAACCTGTTTGGCAATGTATGTTAGCCAATTTTTTTAACGAGAATTGAAGAACAACAATTTTCCTCCAAGTGTTGCTCAATTAATAGTTTCTAGCGTTTTTTTCATCGAAATATTTCTTCATTTAGTTAAATTTTTGGTCCATCAAATTAATGAACTCAAATCATTTTCATGCAGAACTACATGACGCATCAACATGTAGTGGTGTTTCCATCCCACTGTTCTCACCATCCATAGTGTCGAGGAATGCTCCCAGCAAACTGGGTGTGCTTACGATACACACCGGCAGAGAGCCCCATAATGTCATTGATAAGTATTGTTATTACCTTCGCATCGTTTCCCTTAGCTTGAATTCTAATCAAAGGCCCAAACAACTCATCTTCGTCACATTCATGGTGCGATTTGCGTCTGAGAGGACTGAAGGGAAGACGGACCCCTCTACTTACTCTCAATGCCTGTGCATGAGGTTGCGGCGTCCTGCACCTGCATTATAAAATCGCTTTACCATATATGAGTGAACATTAAGACGTAATCTCATGGACGAAGATGCACTTTCAGAAAATTGCCACTATGTAAGCACATGTCCCTTGTTCCAATCAATCTTCCTCAATTATTTCCGCAGGGAGGTCACTCTAACCAGGCATCGCGTCCACCAATTCAAACGACATTTTCCGTGGCAGCCGAACCACCCCAATTAAAGTCCCACAAAACCTACATAACATTCCATCGCACCCCTGCGCACTATATCCTACACCCGTTCCTCATCCCTACGGGGTTGATGTTCTCCGAAGCAGCAAACCTGTAGACAAATTTAAATACACTATTTCCCAGAAAGACACAGACAAACTTCACTGATACGAAGCACGTGGCGTCAATACAACTTCGAATTGAGGCTGTATCAGCCGAACTTTCTCTGTTTTTTTTCTTTTTGCTTCATTTCACCCATCGTATAGAGACTAATTACGATCGTGAGATTAAGATTACTGGGGTGGTGCGAGAGATGACATTATGAGCCGGTGATGAGACCGGGGGTGCGTGGGAGCCCGTGCCTGTCCTGCATTCTGCCATTAATTTAGAAGAATTCTCTCCAAAACAGACGAGAGATATGGCTCTAGGTGAATGTGTGACAGACGCCCCTCATTCGTAAGGTTGGTTATCATCTGCACCAGGGAGCATGGACGCAGCGTGCCTCTGCTCATCTTTTGTCCGTACTGTAATCAGTTTTTTAACTCTGTGCCACGATCTGTTCTTGATATATCAGCATCGTGACGTCTAATAATACATGTCCATACAGTTTCCTTTTTGACGAGGTTCTTGCAGCTCCGTTGTGTTCCGTTATCTTAGCTTCCGTGAAGCTTGACTGAACATTGGATTTCATAAAGACTAGCTTCCAGAGTTCCCTCGCACATCTACAATTTTCCACATGGTCAGGAAACCCATGAAGAGCTATGCGTAATCCACACTTGCTATTGCCCTTGGAGCTACTATGGATCATATTGAGAATTGCCGCGTTGCTTGTTTGAAAAGACAAGTTCCTCTCGCCAGGCCAAACAATATATTGCTGGACTACCAGTAGCGTATGAATCCTTCACTGCCACATTTTGAGAGATTGCATGCAGCTCCTTCAATTGACTATTCGTAACCTACATAATTGTCAGGTTCCAGCTGATTCAAGTTCAATTCTTTCTTTCGTCCACTTGGTTCATACTGAATGCTTTACAGTCTGTCATTGAAGCAAGTAAGCGATCTACAATACTCTGCTAACAAAAAGAAATTTTCAGCATTGTCAGAATTTCGCGCGTCTTGAACATTTCTGGTCACCCACCAGAAGCTCCATGGAATGATTGGGTGGTATCTCTTGAAAAAGCTGCCTTCAACAGAGAAGGTTGGTCAGCAACCAGTGGCGAATATTCCTCTATACGCTTGGTGTCGGAGACAATCCACAACCTCAGCAGACTTGTCGGTTGATCCGAAGAGCATCCACCATCACAGTTGGTTTCTTAATCAAGAAGCGATTCCTTGTCCGCTGAGAATATTTATCTAATCTTGATTGTACTCCACATTGAGCAAAGTTGTTTCGAAATAAAGTATAGCAGTAGCTACTTTTAACAAAACACACGGACCCTGCAACCTACAGAATTACCAACACCATCATGTCCATTAGTACGGGTAGAAGTTTCGGCATGTTGCTTAAAGATGAATCTGAACCCAAATCTGAATCTTACACTATCTCATAAAAAAGCAAAAAAACCAGTAACGGGGCCACGTACGTGAGTTGAACGTTTTAGATGGATATAATACCAATATCTAACTCCAATAAATGTTCAAAAAAAGAACAGTAACCTGGTAGAATCTGTACAAAAATTTGGGTCAAGAATTTTCCCGACAAATTGGTGCACTCAACGTGCCTCTCTTTTCTAAGATGAAAAATCTATGTTCACTAAAAGTGAGATCTTGCTCTGTTCGATAGCTCAGTCTTGAGTTGCTAGAACTAAAATGAAGCATCTCTGCGTGACGGCCTAATTCATCGTCTTCAGGGGACCCTAAAACACAATAGAAACCTATTGAAAATTTCCGGGGGCTTGCTTGACTGAGATGTCAACATTTTAATGTGTGACGTCATGCTCTCCCCCTCCAATTGGATATCCACTACCCATGTCAACCTTCTTGCAACAGAGGTCTCATGCCAGGGCATTGCAGTGAACATGTCGGATAAGCACGTTCTGTGCGGATGTTCCATGAAACGCCGCTGCATTAGATAGGTCCTTTGTGGAGAATGCAGCTCCTCACAACTCTGCAACAGATGATCGATCGAGCGTGAATATATTTTCAGAGTCAACGATACAACCTCGAAAGGCTTCGGGGATAATTTTGATCATTTGATGTAGATAGTATACGATAGGCCTCGAATATGAACATAGGTGACAGAAGAATATATCGCCATGTGGAACTCCTATATGCTGAGACTTTTCTTCATTCTCCCTCATCCCTTTCTCTCAATCCCCCCCCCTCCTAGCAACAAATCTGGTACAAGAAGAAAAAGAAAAATGTCAAACCGTAAGTTCAACAACTCTAAATTTTGCTTCAGCCACTGATCCAGCAGATAAGACGATGGCATGCAAGTCCTCTGCTAGACTCTAGAAGTCGGAATGACTGAAATAAGTACTGAGCACTTTTTCATGGCCAGACTCCACTCGCATCCAGCACAAAAGACTCAAAAGAGTCAACCAATTTACTTAAATATCTTCTCACAAGATGGATGTGTGAAATTACCAGTCAGTTGCTCTCGAGCTGTTTCCGAGAGGTTATGAAGACGTTGATATTTTACAAGCTTTTCCACCACCTCTGCTACGACCAACTTCGTCAAGAGCAAGCCGGCAAAGAGGGCAGCCATCATGAGCATGATGAAGACCGCACCCCAACCTTGGCCTGAAAGGAATCCCGTCAGCAAAGGTCCAATGGCTGCCCCCAAGGAACCCGTTCCATCGATGATTGCAGTTACAGTAGCTAAAGCTCTACCATTTCCTTTCAATGAACTGTGTGTTCCAAGATCGGCAGAGACAGCAGTCGTGATGAGAGCGTAAGGGCCATTGATCAACATTCCCGCAACTACCATCAGTGTGATATTAACCGTTATGGAGACACTCCCATAGGTCCTGTAAAGGAAGAGGGCAGGGATCGCACAATACATAAACCCAGCAGCCGTAATTGCTCTTGCATTTGACTTGTCGGAGATATGGCCAGCCAGTATACCTCCAACAACGCCCCCCACGTCAAAGAGAGTTGATAACTGACCAGCAGTTTTTTCATCTAGCATTTTTCCTGCGATGGCTGTCACAGAAATCAAGAAGTACGTAAGAAACCCTATTTATGAAAAGAGAACATGGAGACATACAGAATCGAGCATCCGAAACAATACTACAGAAATATTAATTCGGTCGTACGACAATGTGAAACCGGTGAAGTATAATGTAGAAAGTTCAGAAATTTACGTGTTTGTTTGATGTAGAATGGAAGCCAGTACAAGAAGGTGTAAGCAACGAGCTTGGAAAAGAACAAACACAGAGCGAAAGTGGCAACACCGGGAATTCTCCATGCCTCAAGAAACCCTACAGCAGGATCGTTCCTGATCAATTCCGGCACTGTTTGCTTAGTCCCAACCAGCTGCTGTGACTCCAAATCTACTCCGTCAGATTCAGCTACCGCACTAGAATTTTTGTTCTCGCTGGCCAACAAATCTGCCTGCTCCGAGTCATGCTCTGCATTCAGTGCTCTCTCCACTTCATCGGCTGTATCATCAGAAAATCAACAATGTTACTTAACAATCGCCACACCTTCACAAGCAATGAACTGATTCGCATTGCAAATTACAAACACACAGCTCGTACACGATTCACATCAAAAGACCCACAATGGAAATAGCAAAATCTTCCTCACCTTCTGCAGCAGCTTCGACTTCGTGAGGACACGGAAGACCCAAATCCTCAGGCCTCACAGCGAGGAAGGCCCACACCAAAAGACCACCTCCAGCCAAAATGGTGCCAGGAATAATGAAAGACCAGCCCCATCCATACTTGAGCGCTGCAGCAGCAATCAGCGATCCAAGGATGTTACCAACGGAGGTATGCGCGTTCCAAATTCCCATAATGAGCCCGCGTTTCTTCTTTCCGAACCAATTGCCAACGATGGTGACTACGGAGGGCCAGCCGGTGGCTTGGAAAAGTCCAGCAGCCATCTGCACTAGCAGAAAGTACTCGAGACGATGGATGTTCCAATAGCGACCCATCCCGAACAAACACACAAAGAAGCCACTGCAAACCATGCCAAAAGACAGGAACTTGCGCAAATCCAATCGGTCGCCCAAATGCCCTGCGAAGTACATGCCGAAGGCGTACGACGCCAGAAAAGCAACGTCAATCTCCCCAAGCCTGTTCTTCCCTGTCTTGCCATCGAAAGGAGCCCACCCTCCTTTGCCAATGTTGTTCGTGGAGTTGCCATCAGCAGAGCCATTGTGAAACAGCTTGTCGAATGACGGTGCCAAAGAGGCAGGGAGTGCGTAGTGCCCAGATCCCAAAGCAGAGATGACAGAGCCCTCAGGATCCAACACACTCTTCACGATGCTGGGAGGCTTGCGCGACATGTGGAACATGGCATAAGCGATGAAGGTGATTATGAGGACCGACGCCCGGTACGACGAGTAGCTGAAATCCGTGCCACCCCTGAGCTTCTTGATGAGAGCGATCCCGGGTGGTGGACAACGGCTCTGTCCGTGTCCCTCCATCTAAACCTTCCTCTACAAACCTCTATTTACGCCAATATCAATGAACAAAACCTCCCTGAACTCGATAAATGCCGCCACCCCTCAGCGGTCGTCCCGCACTCGGCAATTACGATCTCAAGCCTTCTTCGACATAATCTCCAATACTTGACTTCGCAAGCAGGTTACAGAAAAAAGTGACAAAATCTTCACACCAGGGGGAAAACGAAGAAAAAAGAATAATGAATAAAAAAAAAAACAGGTGATTGTAACCTCGTACACAATCTTCCAACAGAGAAAATCGAGAAACTTCTTCACAAAACTTAGGACACGTCCAACTGGAGAGCCACTAATTGGACCCACTACTCCAAGCAATTTACAAGCAAATCCAGGATCCTGAGTAGACAGAAAAACAATACTCGACGGGGACAAGTCGCAAGGATCTCAATGCGACTAATCGCACTCCAGCCCACTTACAATAACTCGGATGGCGACGTGATAATGTAGACCCCCCCCCCCCCCACCTTCACAGACTTCTCAGAACCACACCCTTACACGAAAAGAAGGAAGCTAAAAGAAGCAGACTCTCTAGAGAAGTTGGCAATGATGAAAGCTTCACTTCAACTGCGGTTGTTGAAGCAAAATCACGGGCGCGCTACCTTTAACAGGAGGAGGTGATGACTACCTATCAACCCACAAACCGCAAATTCGACCTTCCGCCTTGCACGTCGATCTTGACTACGAGCGCTTGACTCACGCTCCTACTCATTTACCCAGATTCCACTAAAAAAACACCTTCTGTGTCAGGAGTGGAAATTCCTCACGCTGGGCATCTCAGACCGAAACGAAGCTCGCTCGGATTCACGTAGAAATCAAAAAATCAATGCTAAATTTACCCACAAAAGCGAAACAACACAACATGGTCCTGGTCCACCCAGCTACCGAGTGAGGAAAATCCAGCCACATAAATTATCTTACTCGACGTTCGCAATGACTAACCGACAAACCGTAAGGGAAACCCTACTCTTTTCGTTATGTCGTCGTCGTCGTCGCCGCCGCCGCCGCAGCAGCACAGTGACGATCTGTTCCTCGTCCCAAGCCTCGAACTTTGCCGCAAATAGCTTCACAGATTCAAATCCCCGCAAAACACACGAATTCTAAGGGGAGCGTGGTCAATGAACGCCTTCACACAACGCCTCGCTGCTCCAAAAATGTATAACATTGTTGATGTGTTTTATTCTTTTTTAAAACCACCCTAATGTTTATGTGGTCCTCACTAGAACTCCAATTAGATAATGTAGCAGGACTGACAATCTAAGGTTTTTGTAATAACAGGCAGTTCAAACTGTAGCGATAAAATAGATAGATATATATATATATATATTGCACATTCACACACACATATACAAATTGTTCTAGATATTACTTTCAATCATAAAATGAAGTATTCATGAATGCTATTTGATACACATGGCTATTTTATTCGTTTGACTGTTTGTATTTTATTGTGTTTTTTAGTACTAATGATCTTATCATTTACCCCAAAAAGAAAATGTTATGTTCTTCCAAAATATGGTGAACAACTGCTGAATAAGTCGAGGAAAAATGTTACTGTCACGTAAAACAATTCCCAACAATTGAATTTTTAATTACTACTTTTTTCAAACATGAATTCCAAAAAAAATTAATTCTTCTTGTTGTGATGGTAAACTTTATAAAGCTACTGCAAAGTAATTATTACATTTTTATTTATTTTTAATGAGAAACATTCATATTCTAGAAGCCAAGTCACAACACAATGCTGCATGTTACAAAATTAATTACTTGTACCCACAACAAAGTCCATTACCATTCCTTGATTTGTCACCTTCGTTCAAAGTCCTCACAAAATTCAACACCCCAATGAAGATAATATTGTATAATGTTCCAACAAACAACAATGGTGTTTTTTTTTCACATTAATAGATAAAAAGTAACAATGTGAATACTAAACATTCAAGTGTCGGATAATGCAGAACACCACAAACTTCTTATAAGAGACATTTGGAGAGGAGGATAGGATGTAGGATCCTACAACTACGTTGAGACCTTCACAGGAGTGTTTACTAGAGAATAAAATTTTCCTTAAGAGGGAAGACAACGCTGACAGTAAACTACACCAAAATCCTAAATTACAACCCCTCCAATACTCCAGAAATAATTTTCGGAACCCAAGTAGCAACAAATGTGGAGGAAATCCGACACATTCTTTTTATTTTACCACCTCCAATTCCGTGCTATCAATCTAACCAACATTCATAGGGCCACGACATTGCTACGTGAACCCATCCTTAGGCCAATTCGCATCCTCTGCAGCCGCTCACTGCTGACCACAATTGAAGAAACGAAGATCCATATTGCTTGTGGGTGAGACTGACTGACTGTCCACGAGGTTGACTGCGCCGACAGGGATGGATCGCTGCTGCGCGACGCAGAAAGCAGGGCACCAGCTTCCTCCCAACACGGTTCATCCCTCGGCATCCTGGAATATGCGCGAGGATCTCCGTTATCGCAAGTGGCACATGCTCGGCATCGTCAGAGTATATGCGGTGGAGAATCTGTCAGACACATGGCGGAGCCACGTACCTTACCATCTCGGCAAGCCGCACACCGTTCGGCAATCCGACGAAAAACAATGATGTGTGGAGGGAAACGTGTAGCAGAGAAGAAGTTTCTGCGCGGGATTTGAAGTGGGGAGAAGCGTGTCGATAGGTTCCTTCTGAGCCAATGCTGTAGGTAAATTTGATGCCGAAATCGTGGACCAACGCCGGAGACGGAGATAGCGAAACCCGCTACGCGACGAGGGGTGGTGAATCTCGGACTCCGAAACTCAGATTCCATGCTTCCATGCAACTACAGCCCCCTTCCTCGGGCCTCCCTTTCCTCGCAACTGCTCATGGAGAGTGTGAGTTGCAGCTCGGCCACGGCTGCTCCCCTCGAAGACGAGCAAAAATGGAACTCTGTCCACGTTTTTCATTCATTTGGATGAAACCATGTGGTGGGGTTTTCATATTATCATCCGTATCACATGTTGGTTTTACATCCACATATTTTGGTTTTACATCCACGCGTATTGATAAGATACCTTGTGAACTTGTACAACCCATGTAAGTTTGTGGATTGTACATCCACACAACATGAGTGATTTTTACGACAATGCATGTGAGGATGTGAGTAAAATATGGGATGGACAAGTACAGAAAGGCATTATTATTGAGGGAATAATAAAAGAGTCTATGAGAAGATATATCATGGAGAGTGGAGGCTTGTTTTTAGTGTAATTTATTTCCAATGTATCACTTTACTGAATTTTTTTAAAAAAGAGACTACAGTAACAGGATGAATTTTGAAGATAGGATTTTTTTTATATATAAATTAATTGTTTTTCTCAAATATGGTTTTTGAACTTATAGTAGATGGTCCAAGCCATGCCATGAAAGGGAAAATAAATAAATAAATAAATAAATAAATAAAAACGTGAATTTACTTCAATTTAAACTACTTGTAATTTCACAACTTGTAACTTATAGTTTTGTCCACAAGCTATTCTGACACCCACTGCTGTAGAGCTTTCAACAATAGCACACTCCTCACACAACAGCCCACAAAACTGGAAACCAAGCCTCTCTAATTCTGATGCCACCGTCCACGCACTTTTGCACAAGCTTATTGAAGGTGGGAGATATTCACTGTCATGGGATTTTGCCATGTGGCGCCCCAACTTCTAATCCTCTGTCACAATCTCCAGCTTTGAAGTCTGTTATTAATTGAACTCTCTTTTTCTTTTTTCTTTTCCTCTGTCTTCTGTAGTAGCTGGCTTTGTGTGGGTATGTATGATGTGGTACCCCCTTCCCAAGAGTGTTCTAGAAAGAAACATGTTAGTGGGCCCTTTCCGGCATACGGAGAAAGGAATGTTTTCCACATGGACAGACTTTGCTGCTTATTCAATCATACAGTGCCATCTGCATGGTTGTTCATTCATTCATAAATTTACACATTCATTCATACATTTTCACATTCATCCAATGCCTTCCCAGATTAACCAAAGGGATCTCACCTCCCTTCAACAGAACAATACCTCTGCATTGTTTTAAAAAAAAACTAAACTAAACTAAACTAAATAAAACTAAATTTGTCTGCAAGGCTGAGCAAGTAAGTTGAGAAAACATCCCTTTGTAAACCAAGGTGCATTTGGAGAATAAGCCAAACCCTTGAATTCCATGGGGAACAACGTCCCCACAAACCCTGATTTCCATGAGGGAAAATTCATGTTTCTGTCCAAAAAGTTGTTTAACATTTTTGTGGGCAGAATAGGCTGTCTCAAGAGCTCCAGCCATTGCCAAGCACATGCTGCTTTCCTGTGCTATGTTGTGAGTTTCAACTTTAATCCTCATCTTTATTTTGTACAAAGGTTTACTTTTAATCTTATGGGGTTTCCTTGTCTTGAAATAGGGGGGAAATAGGGTTCTGAAAGTTGATTTGCTACAATCCAAACCTTGAATACATGAATAAAAATTACCACAAATTCCATAATTTTGTAAAATAATTGCAGATTTTCCTCCTCCATCTCCCCACTTTTTGATTTAGGTGTAACTTATTCCTTTAGTCCAGCTAATTGCTACAACAGCTGAGGGCTACATTGCATAAAAAATCTATAATTGGAAATATTATATATATATATATATATATATATATATATATATTGCCACTATTATGTGAAAGGGCTTCATGATTTTTTAAAATTAAAACATACTGATAATAATGATAATAAACATATGTAGTTGTTTTAAGGGAGATTTTGATGGGGAACCTAATTTTTCTACTTTCATACAACAAGTATTTGTTGGAAGCTCTTTCTGCATAAAAAAAGTGAGTGTCTGTATGTATATGTTCATATAAGTGATGTTGATATATTATTGTGTTATCAAATATGTCTTAAAAATAAAACAATACCTTGCACACCATTGTCCAAATGTTAAACCATGTGTTCTGAAAATCAACTCACTCTGCATGGCACTTGGCTGTGAAACAATTCAATTGTTATTTCAGTTCCAAATGATTGAATAATGAAGCACCCCTTTGAAACTATGGTGTTTCATTTTATCAAAGCTTCTAAAGGTTGCTTCAATGTGTGCACTTTGGAGCAAATTTATAAATGCCATAAAATTGGAGTTTAACACACAAACACACACACCAGAGGGAACATGTTTATTTAATTATCCATCCAGGGTCATAATTTTCCCATTCAAAAAATTCATACAAACATTTGATTTCTTTTTTGGAAAGTAGGGAGATTTGATTGGCTTTTTGTGTACGTCTACCAAGCAAATATTGCTTTAGAGTTGCTTCTTTCACCTCCCCACCCACCAACATAGCCACATGACAAAAACCTGCATGTTGAATTGTTGCCAATCAAGCTGACATTGTGCTGACTTGGCAGAAATAAAAGCATGAACACAACCAGTCCCTACCATTTTGTTGTCACAAGATCACCACACTCACCTTTACATGGACAACATTCACTGACAAAGTCATGTGGATGTTGTTCATTTTTGCACCTCTCTCTTGTCTATACACCAACATGACACATGGAACCCTAGCAAACTCTAATTGTTGTCCACCATGTGGAATGTGAAAATGAAGGCATGATTCAAAACTCCTTACCATTGAGTTTTGGAATGAGCTTTTGGATATGGGTTTTGGTCTTTTTGTGCAGTAATATTAAAATTTAATTGTCTGTTTTACTCTGGGAGCTTGTGTTGGGGGAGTTTGAAAGTGGGTGGTAACTTTGGAGAGCCTTTCAACAAATCAAATACAGTCATTGGTGTGAATGAATGAGCAATTGAATGAAGAATTGGTGCAAATTGGTTGATGCACAGAATGTACACAGAAGAGTTTTAATGGATGGTGGAAAGTGTGACATTGAATGTGTATTGTTTTGCAAATAAACCTATATTTTAACAAACCTTCCTTGTATTGCAATTCCATCCCTACATACTACTACAGGAAAAAAGAAAAAAAAAAGAAAAAAAAAGAAGGTATATTATAATGTAGTCCTTGTAAATGTGTCATTGTTAATGACATATTGTTTCTCCTGTGGTTTGGATGAAGCTAATATTTGGCATTTGTTTGTTCTAGTATGTTTTGGAATAAATAAATAAATAAATAAATAACCAAACTTAAATTGACATGCAAAATTTGATAATACTACTTGTATGAGTAATCTATAAAATAATTATTCCTATATTTTAAACACCAACATCAATCAAGAAATACTCAGGCATTTGGTCAGTTTCATTGGTTTTAGTTTTTCAAGGATACAAAGGCACTGCAACAACATATACAACCCCAAATTTTAACAAGCAACATAAATTTTGCCTGAATATTTACAAAATGACAACCTCAATTGTTATGATTATGAAGTAAATTCTTCAAGATAAATTTTCATTAAATTGATCATAATTATTCAATGCAATGAATAAAACTAAACATAAATAAATGGACCAATTATTTTAAATTGAATGAATTACATTGAATGGGATGAATTCTACAACAGCCAAAGAAAAAATATTACAAGTTTTATGTCCTGAATATACACTTGTATTAAAATAATAATAAAAAGTGACTGTACAATTAGATGTAATTGTTTTTGTATATATATTTTTAGTGTATTTTGGCATTGCATGCATAGTGGATTCCCTGCTTGTGAGAATCAGGGAACCTGCACTCAAGGATTTACCTGCCACAGATTGTTAAGGATCCAAGCATGAAGTGGCATTGGCCTGAAGTGGCTTTGACCAAGGCCTAGGCTTAGCCCACAACATGTGGACTGACAGGGCTCTTAAGGATGAAAGACACACACACACACACACAGATATATATATATATATATATATACATACATATGATATCTCAACCCTAATTTGGATCTTTGGAGGAGGACATAATGGCCATGGCAGCCACAGAGTGGCTATGGGTCTGGGGTGGTCTTGGTTTGCTGAATTTCTGCCATGGTGGTATGAAAAGAGGCCAGTTTACATCCATCCACACATCTGCACACACATGTGCATCAGAAATATGATTTTTTGATTTGAAAGTATTTTAGGTGAGATTTTATAATTATTATTATATCTATTAATACTATTTTTATTTTTTTGTAAATTACAACAACCAGTTTTCTGGCCAAACAGAGGATTTGTTTATGCTGTTTTCTTATTTCTTCATGATTTTTCTCTTGCATTAATCCCTACCAAATGTATTGGTAAAAACTGGACATGATTTTAGTTAATTAATTAGTTCTAAATTTATTTTCAGCAACATTCATCTGTGCTTGAGCACAAAGTGCAATGTCATATAAAATAAGTGAGTGAGAGAGAGAGAGAGAGAGAGAGGTCCAACACTCCAACCAGAAAGAACATTCTATGCACCAAACCATCAATAGAGTTGTCCAATTTCTCAAGCTTGGACAGAAGGATTTTTCTTAGCATATCCTTTCCTCTCATCATGAAAAAAGGGCTGCTGGTGGAAGAGGAGTACCCAAAGGACAAATCCAATTAGAGGAAATAAAGATGAAGAGGAGAGAAAAAGAGGAAAGAGATATGGAATGTTGGAAAAGTTGGTATGGATTGTGGGTTGCTCATCCACAAGGCATTGCTAAAGCATTAATGGATTGGACTTTATTACGATAGCAAGATAGATGTATAGATAGAACAAAAGGCCATTATCCAAATGAAAAGAAGAAGAAGAAAACTAGTAAAAAGTGCCTTTGTGATTTGCTATATTAGAAGCCTATAAATAAATTAAGGCCTCAAGTACTTGTGGGTCAAAAACACTTGTCATGATGCTGCGTGCTTCAAAGCCTTCCATGCCTCATATGGAAGCACCAACTCTTACACATGTCCCTAGGTCTAGCTCAAGCATTGCCATCCCTCTTCAAAATCAATGCTTAGTTAGACCCACAAGATAAATTCCAAATTAAAAACTAAAAGAAATTGCATAAAAAAATTAACAAACAAATACAACATTCATTGGTAGAAATGTGCACTTACAAGTGTGTCTGGTTGCCTTTGGACATTGTTCAAATTACAGACTAGGCTAGGGTTGTCATGTCACATCCAATGTGAACAATCAAGAGCTCTAAGGAATTGGCAACCATGAAGTCTCTGTGTAATGTTGGTCCACACTGTTCGCTTGGGTCAGGCATGAGTTGGGTAATATTGATCCTCTGGATGGCTTCTAAAACAGCCACATATACATCAGATAGTGTACAAATATCACACTTCTGCTGGTACTTGATAACTGAGTGGCAGCTTGGGATTAGTGATACCCAAGTATCTTGTACCTATTTTGCTGTTTGAGCCATTCATGTAACACATGTGCCAAATACACAATAAAATAAAGTGTAGCATTCCACCTCATATATAGCTAACTAAATTAATGCTGCCACATACCACTAAGGTGCACATGAGAGAACAGTATATGAAATACCATGACTGATTCACTACCAGACTAATTGTTTACAGTAACATCATGAAAGCTTGAATTCAGTGCCTAGTCTAGACTCCTTGGGATAAGCAATAAAAAAAAAATGGACATTAGAAAAGTATGGGATTTATTACAGTTGAGGAGATAGGTATACATGCATCTTAAGAATCACACCAGCCACTAGAATGTTCAGGAATACAACCCAGTAATTACTTTAAACATCTCGATCTGCACAATCTATACGCATTAATATAGTCTCTAGTCTTCAGAGAGGGCTGATTCTTTAAATATATACAGCAAAAGGATTAAGATTACTTCACGTGATCTTGGGCTGCTCGCACACCTGCAAAAGTTCCATCTCCTTCATGACGGCATATTTCTAACTGCCTTCAGAAAGAACATACAGACTTCAGAAATACATTAGGGTTTAAGGCGAAGTCCTTCCAGATGGATAGCTTTTCACAACCTAGGCTTGAACATCGAGCGATGCACCCTCATAAACCTTCCCGTTGCATTCCACAGCAGCCATGAGTCAGCTGTGCATTTCAGGCACTTTTCAAGAAAACTTTCACACACCTTGATGCTCCGTGTTAGCGTCATTGCTGGCGGGCAATTCAAGTATGCTATCAGTATCAAGAGTGGCAGTAGGCAACACATCTGGAATAATGTGAGGCTTGTCAATCGTATCCTCCACCGCCGTATCCACATACGCGGGTCTGGTGTCTGGAAGGGGCCTCTTCAAAAACTCACGAAGAGACTCTAGCTCCGCCATGCCTTCTAACCTGGGTTCAAATGTTTGCATTTCAAAACCCTCCATGCTCATGGTACCATGAAAGAAGTTCCACTTCTTAGGGGTGGATGGATCCTCTGGCAGAGGAACCACATTCAATCCTTGATTAAGCTCAAACTGAGGACGTTTCACGAAATCCACTACTATAAGTGCACCATTTCCAGGTTGTAGCGATAGATCATCGCCACTACTTAACAACTGAGATGCAGTAGCATCCAAGCTATGTCCCCGAAGCATCGTAACTCTGTGGAGAGTTCGTTGCCTACAGTTATGCCTCCTCCTGCACAGAAGACTTCACATTTTATCATGTCTGAAAAACTAAATAACTCAACTGAGCATTACATGAATAAAGCCTTGGCATATAAGTAGGCTGCTCTACAAAATTCATCTATGGTTGGTCCATCAATATTCAAAAGCGCAACGTTAAAGAAGCCATGATTAAAATTAATAAGAAACACAGGCAAAAGTTTTGTCCAGCCATGTTCAAAGCTGAGGATAATTCTGTGTCAAGAATGGAACTGACCAATGGATGAAACTGGCCTTCGTAGGATTGACTTCCACCCCTCTTGGATTTCGGAAAATACTAGCATTAACACGGGTAAGATGCAACTTAGGCACTCTTTCGTCATTTGTCGCTTGTTCAGAGTTGTCGACGGAGGGGGTTGCCAGAGGGTCACATTCCTTACGATCTCTACAAACAGCAGCAGCCTTCTCCCAAAGCCTGAACTTGTATGCAAACAGTGTCTTGAATATAAACTTATTCTCTTCTGCAAAATTGCACTGCCAAACAGAGACAAATCAGGTTCACCCATACCTACAAAACCCCGACTTCAAATTCAAAAAATCCAAATATGAATTCAAGAGACCACCCATTCGCAGACTTTACCTCAATCTGCATCTTGCATGATACTTTAATAGAAATCAACTTACTGAGCAATAGTTTCAGTTTTGTTGTCATTGAGCATTCTGTAACAGTAGGAATTTAATAAGAGATCCTAGAAACTAGAACTTTCTGTCAGATGGTTCCTTGATTAATAATTGAAGGATTGCAACTACTACATTATGAAATGAGTCAAACTTACTGCTTCTCCCAAATTAGAGTCAGCTGGGCTTTCACAGACTTCAATCATGGCTTCCTTCGTCAATTTTTTTAACCTGAAAATCTCCTGTCGCAAGCAGGCTGATCAAAACAACACAAATTACATGACTTTCAAGTTTCAGACACAAAACATTAGTGCCTATAAATTATCAAGCCGACCGTTGGTTGTATTTCATGCAGAGGTTGAAACGCCATGTATGATTCATTAACTAACTAATAGTGAATTTAGAAGCATAGCAAGGAACCACTTACATAACTGTGCCATTAGAAGTTACCTTTACATGGGTTCAGCTCTCCACCAAAGGCTTTGGAGAATATGTTCCTGAGCTTAAGTGATGAAACTGGCGTGGTCTCTTCATTCGGCTCTGCCTTAAGAACAGCTTGATAAATAACGCGCGCTAAACTGCAAGCCTGTAACTCCATGCACAACCATGAGACATGAGAACTCAAAAGATAAAAGATATTATACATTATCCAGGAGGATAAATATTTGAAGCAATGACTCGTTGGGTCAATCTCTACTTGGTTTGGTTGAGCATGCAGCTCACCTTTTCCAGATTTGTGATCATTAGCAACTCACTTTTAGTCATGAGTAATCTGCTCTGAAACCTGGAAGGTACCAAATGTGAAGCAACACCTTCCGGATTGATAGCAGCTCTCACTGGATCAAGGCCTAAAACTCGGAAGGCCATGAGAATTCCACTCCTAGGATGACTGAGAAAAACATCACACTGTAAAAACAACATCAAAAGCTCAACGTCAAATATTAGCAATTTTATAGAATACGCGGATAACTTCGACAGGAAAATGGTTGACTTGTTTACTTTTATAGCCCAACCAAGCCCAGCCCGTTTTAGCCAGTGCCAAAACTGCGCCAAAACATTCTCAACCTACCGATGCATCTGGTTTTACAACAGAACACGACAGCAAACCACTACCATTGAGAGGCCGCAAAATCCACTATCCCGAATGTAAGAAAGAAAGATTAGAGCAGCTGATAGATTCGAGGATACTGGGCGTACTTACAAATTCCTGTTCACATGAAGACATTGAACTGGTGTCACATACACTTCTTATGATTCTGAGTTGCATAGAGTCCCCCATGAACTTCTTCAGGTTTCTCTTGATCACATCTACTCACATATAAGAACAAATTATGAAGAGTAGAAAGACACACTATTTCACATTGTGAGGTTCGTATTAAAGGAAGTAACAGAGATTTCAAAGGAGAAACTAAACCAAATTCAAAAATATAATACTCAATTGCGCAATTGCGCAACCGTTACAAAAACCTTACGAAAGAAATAAGAAGAAGAAGGAGGAGGTGAAAAAAGAGGAAGGAGTTAAAGTAAGACAATAAAGAATAGTCAAGAAAAATCTGCTTTAGGAAGAAATCATGTTCAAAACTTACAATATTTTAAGAACACAAAAAATTTAAAAGTAATAGAACAGTTGAAATCATCTTGAGATTTCAGGATTCAAGTGTTTAGTATGCATGGCCACCTGATTGAACGTTGGAGTTATCAGGGCCATTCGTGGTTGTAACGATCTCTTCTGAAACAGCTGCAAAAACATAAGAAAGCTTCTCCCGTAAAGAACATAACAGACTCGGTTTTGAAATCTTTTGCAGTGCGTGCACGTCCAAAGGTTCAGTCACAGATTCAATAATAGGGGCTTTTCTTCTATCTGCAGGCTCCCTCCAAGTCTGAAATTCAGAACATGCCCAAGAAATCAATGAGAGACTGGACTCAATCAAGATAAAATAAAATAAAAATCCCTATGTAATTGTATCCTGGTATAAAACACGCAACCTCTAAACTTACTTTACATAAACTTTGCAAGTGGTTTAGGTATAAGCTCGCCATTCTTTAGCTACAGAACATTCTGCAATATTCGCAACGCATCGAAACATGACCTTGGACAATGCATAGCCTTTAGAATCGCAAGACTATGTTGCTTCTTTCAACGACATCAATTGAATACTGTATCAAACATGTATCCATAAAATCGAGGGAGAATCAAACCGTCTAGAAAAGATAAGTAAGCTTGTTCTAAAATATAATGTAGTTTTAAAAGAAACGAATGTCTAAAGAATTCCTATCTACTGCATACACTTCTGAGGACCTATGTTGTGTTTGACGAATATACACACAAATGCTGCAGGTGCACATCAATTTACTTACAATCAAGTTAGGTTCGTCAGAAGAGGAAGATGAAATGCTAGAAAACCATCGGCCAGTCTTGCCGAGCAAATCCCATCCAAATGAAGAATGTAGCTTGTGGTGATGATGCTCCGTATCACTCTCAAACTGGTTCTCATGATCGTGCTCATGGTGAAGATGGTGATGACGATAGTGATCGTTATGGTGATCACGCCCATACCGAAACACTTTCGACCACCACGAGCCTAATTTGGAAGCCATTCCACATTTCTTGTGCCCATGGCTTTCTCTCCGCACTCCGAACGTTTGAAACCGGTTGAACGGATTAAAATTCGACTGCAATGACTTATCATCGACGCGCTCCTCATGAGGCATGCGGGCACCACTCGTGATCCCATTTTGCTCGGACAGCATCCGCACGGACCTAGGGGAATATCTGTGCAACGCCACATGGTCTCCGACGGACCTTTCTTCCTCAGCCGTGACGGCCACGCAGCACACCGCGGCTACTACAGCCGTAACGCACAACCAAGATACCAAAACTCTCCTCATTCCTCCAAAACCTCGTCAATTTCCTTCAAAATTACTGAATTCCTCCCAGAAATGCTAAAAGATAACACCAAATGTCTCGTCCTGAAGCATGCAGGGAACCTATTCCATCTAGCAGTTACCAATAATTGACAGCGAGGGATTCTACTTATAGAAAGACTGCAAAAGTGTCGAACTCATCAGAACTTGGGAAAAGCTCTGCAAACAATGCGCCCCGTAGTGGGGTTGGTTGTAAAGAAAGAAGACAAACAACCGGACCACCAGGTCGTCTTCCGGTGATCTGCCTGCGTCACATCACATGGGTTGTCAAGAAACTGCCCACACCTGAGCCCATTAGTTGTGAATGATGCACAATTCCCCTCACGAACGAGGCGCTTCGTCCACGACCTCAACAAACCTCCGTCGTCAAATTCGACGACGCCCTCAACGAACACTGATCGGCGACGTTTCAGAGTCTGTTGGCCCTGTTGTGGTTCTCGTGACTGTTCTCACCCATTCTCTTGTAGCATCGGGTTCTATTATTGTTCAATCATTCACCTGGAAAGCGCCTCAATACTGCCATGCCTCCACTGTTGGTCCCATTTTTTTTTTATCGCTGACATCGACGTTCGCTGGTGCGTCTGATGAAAATTCCCTGTCGAATTGTTCACACCAACCTGTCAGAGTGTAAATGTAGTCTCCTCTTCGATTGATGGCAATGAACAGCGCTCACGCAGATTTAACGAGTTTCTCAAAGGATTCTTGCACCGTTAAGCTTCAAATATTCCCGAACAATGAATTACAGTTTTGTCCGGGATGATTGCAGTAGGAGATGCTTGAACGTTTGATAACCTGAGGAGCTATTGTGTTTGTGGAGAGGAATGAAGGGCTTGTCTATTCTAAGAAATCAAGCTCTTGTTGATCGGATGGACTATGAGGACCATTACAAGAGTTGTCGCAATAAGATCCGTTGCCGTTGTTGACATTAGGCAAGAGCGTTACACAGACACAGATTCTTCATCACAATGTTACCGACTGGACTGGTACTATGAAAATTTTCGCCTATCTTGTTGATATGGGATAATATAAAATGACACGCAAGACGTCAGAAAGGTTATTGCATCGGCACTGACGTGTTCGGATTGAGGTAATGCGCATACATAAATCTTTAAAGAGAGTGAATTGTGCATTTAGTTTCAGTGGTCCAGTTTCTGAAACATTCCTTACAGGTATAGTCAACTACAGTTTAGCTGATACAACTGGAATCCAAAAAGTAATAAATAAATAAACAAAATTGAGAGCCAGACAAACATCAAGTACCAATTGTTGTTCCAAAGATGCAATCGGAACTAACGTCTGAATCTAATGTTAGTTCATAGTCTTTTCCATAGATTTTCACATTCGAAGTTGTGACTAAAGGTTCAAAGATGCAATCGGAACTAACTTCGAATGTGAAATCTATGGAAAAGACCATGTCAACCTCCTCCTCATGAAATGATAGAGCATTCGAAAACATCGGTATTGAAAGCTATGAAGATCTTTGGATTGTGAAATTCGGCCTTCTTTTTCAACGACGCCGCTGGTATCACAATTTTGTTAATGGCAGCTCTGATCTTACCTCTCAAAGATCATTTTGAACATTTAGCTGGCTGCTGCTGTATATTGATTAAGAAACCAAGACATGCACCAAACGGAGTACCGTATTGAATGGCGAAGAAGATCCATTCAGAGGTTTTACTGTCGCCGTTGCTGTAGTGTCGATAGATATTCATCTAATTTCTGCACTGTCTTACTGCGATGCGTGTTGAATGTGCGACTGTTGCAATTCGACAGTTGTAATTATGTTTCTATAATATGCGCTGCCTGAGCAGGATACTTTTTCCTATCTCGAAATTTTCGGAATGTTCCCTGGTCTTATTAAGCTCTCAAATCGGTAATTCACCAATCTTTGAAATGATACTTTGTCGATCGAAATCCAATTTTGCTTGCAGCTTTAAAAATCGAAACTGCCAGTTTAAGGTTACACACCGCTTCTCCATCTTCCTGAATGCGCCGCTTAGTAGCAGCTTACAGAGCAGATTATTCGAACCAGCTTTTCGCAAGAATGACTAAAAAGCCTCAAGTTCAGTAATATTCTCGAAACGTTTGAACAGAATATAAGTCGCTTCGTGGTATTATGTTAGCAGGAAGAAAACGACTGGATCACGAGATATGCCGCTCCAAAAGCTTTCCTATCTTTGTAGCACTGTATTATCTGAAAATGCTAGCTGATATTTTCTCCTTCACTGAGAACACAGGCTCCATGAACAACTTGAGGTCGAGAAGACACTTGATATGAACGCGAAGAAACGGTTCAGCCTTGGCAGTGATGATTTCTCACATAGATCACAAATGCACCGTCAATCTCACTTCCTCAATAGCAAGAAAGTGACCCCTACTACTCCCACGTTCGTCTTTGGCTGATGCTGTGGTGATCTACTTACTAGAATCCTGATTCTTTCAGCGAACAGTCTTACTCATCAGTTTCAGGATTCTGGCTGGTGAATCTAGGTGCAAACTTGCATTTCCTTTGTTAATTTCTCTCTTTGTGACACTTATTGCCTAGTCATAGAACCAACAGGATTTGCTGATGTTTATGACTTACGTCAAGGGCAATGAGATACTGTATTTTTGTAGGAAGTGTCTTCCTCAATACAGCTTTATGTTATCGAACTGTTGGTTGAAGGTCTCTGATCTGTTTTAGGTCGTTTTATAATGTCATACATATATACCAGATCGCAATGTCGACAAAGACCTGGAGAGAAATCAAAACCATAACCCGCTGCATCTAGAACTCTTCAACAAGGACAATTGACCTCCTCTTCCAGTTTAAGAGTCTAACATGAACTGCCACTAAAACCATTGAAATGAAGTTAGCTCTGCAACTAAATTGCTTGTCACCCAAGCCCTCTCTACAAGCCAAAACACAGGCTTTAACAGGATTCACAAGCCGAGCTGAGAGGCATCCTACGCTGCCTGTAGAACATCGCCAATCTCTGTTGTCCATGCTACTCGGTGCTATCATCCCTGCTCAAATTCTAGAAACTGAAATCAATATATTAACGATGCCCTCTTATTGAGCTTGTTGATTCAATTGTTCGATTCGAAATGTGGCAGCAGAAATCAATTAAGCATGAGCTGGATTAACCTCCATGCAAAGCTGGAGTAGCACTACCAGCAGGTATGTAAGCAAACATACGAACTCATACATGTATTCCCAGTTTTATTCTCAACACCCGCCTTTGTCGGTGAGGAAATATTTGAAGCGATAGGGATCGCAGCAGAAGCAATAATCACTGCCGAACATTTCATATTTGCTCTCACTCACTAGATCCGATTGTTCAGTACTAGTTCAGTATTGCTCAGTATTCAGATGACTAAATGCCCTCTTTCGACATCAATTCATAGAACTGGCAATATGAATGTAGCTCTTATTGTGCGCACCATTTCTATGTAACATGTACATTCCCTATAATTTCACACAATTTTAAGAGATTAACCTAAGTTGAAACTGAACCAATGAACATGTTAGAATTTGTGGTTTGAAATCTTGGAAGTATTTTAAGCAATTTGAGAATTACTAACCATAGAACTCACAACGAATGAAGGATTGCTGGCATAACGTTTAAGGCTGATCATAGTGCTATAAACTAACGTTGGCATTCTTAAGGGCTTATGTAATTTGAAATAGAGCTCATATTTATTAACAATCTCCAATCCTCTCAAAATCAATTAACACTCTGTTCAGGTACCAGTTTATCAATTGTTTTTCCTGCTGTTTAGTGCTCTATCTCCTGCGAAAATGTTGACTTGCAGGTTTTTTTAGCCTCATATCAGGTGTGAGGCAGGAGATTCCAGTAGTTGTCCAAATACATGGTCGTCGATGGAGACCTTTTGAACTCGTTTCCTTTCATTAGGCCACGGTAACCCTGATGCTTGGGATCTTCTCAGCGCCGTATAAGAACAACAGGTTCAAACGATAGCGATTGCGAAAGGGATTTGTCAAACTATGGTTCCTTTTTTTTCTCCTTACCCCTCTTGTTCTTCTCCCACTCTGCTATAAGCTCTCCCACATACTTGTCGTTGGCGGCATCGATAATAGCTCTTACCTCTTCTCTCTCTTCTTTTACCTGATGAAATGAATCGTCTTTTAGAAGCCTACGAAGCAGATATTGCAAAGCAAAAAAAATTCACGTGTCCCCGTCAATCCATTCACTATTTTTTGAGAGCTCATAATATCTTCTGCCGACATTTTAAGCTGAATGAGGACAGCTTATTGGGTCCTCCAATCTTTTTGATATAAAATACAGATGAACAAGAACGATATGAAAAGGAACAGGAAGAACCTCGTTGAATTCCTTGAGGTCCCGCCAGATGTGATCACCGTCCGACAAGCGTTTGTACCTGAATGAAGTTTCACAAATTTGAGGATAAAATGGACGATGATTCTAAGCCCTCAAACCACATAAAAACTCCACAGCTTCTTGGTTCCAAAAGACATAACATAGGACCGGAGATATCAGCAACTTCATATACCTAATGAATGGTTGTGAAAAAATCCACATAGTGAAACGTCTGAGCAAATTACCCGGTTAAGTTTTTCACAAGAGGTGAAATAAACATGTTTGGATATCGAACCCACATCGTCCCTGAACCGGGCTTCCCTTGTTCTTTTGTCTCGTATCTGCCCGGAGCAATTCCTCGTGTTATTTTTCAGTCAACTTTCTCAGAGGCATTGGAGGTTTAGAGGATCCGACTGCTCTGAAGTAAAGTGAAGGAAATGAGAACCTACTTGACACCGAGAATGGTCCCAACGAGGCCTAATGGAGTCTTGATGAGATCTCTTGCCTGCACATGTTAATTCCATCTTCAGTGTAAACAGATGTCATATCCCACAAGAGTGCAATTTCATTGAAACTGTTCGTTTCGAAACCTCATGTTCCTGTCTCTTGCCAACGATGAGGCGAGTACTACTTCGAAGAGAGGTTTTTAGATGAGACCAATGCAGAGCTCCATGCCTTGAGATTCTCGAATGGAGCAGAATCTCGCTCTTCATTCCAGTAAGGCGGTAGCTTGTTCTTCTTCCCTTTCTTCGCCATCTGCCTTAAACTCAACCCTAGACTCCTTTCATGCCATCATCAAATACCTGTCTACTTCTTTTTTTCTGTCTCAACTGCTCCTCACATTCTAATCAACAATTTCTTTCTTCAACACCACTTCCATCAACTCATACCTTCAGAATTCTGGAAGTAATCATAGTGGGGATATTATTCAAGAGGCGTCAG